ATCAACCTGAACACCCACCCCCCCTGGTGATCCTCGGGGACAGTGATGAGAGGGAGGGGATATCCGACAAGGCATGAGTACCTACGTACATTGGACGACGATTGATTGCACCGCGCGCAGGGTGGTGTCCCGATCCTCGGGCGCGGGAGCGGATATCGAGTCAGGGGGGACGTGGAACAAAAGATCGAAAGATCATAGAACCTGTGGTATTAGTGAGGACGGTGGAGGAGGGGCAAAAGACAGCGAATCGAGTGGAGAGGGGAGGGGGAGGGGGTGACTGAAATTTGGCTGGCTGGTAGGCGGAAATGGCCGATGGATTCGCGGCTGGAGCGATACACTTGCATTTGGTTTCTGCAGGTAATTCGCAGGCCATTCGGCTGTAATCTCTGATAGCCGGCTGGCCGCCAATTTTAAAAGGACTTCCAGAAAGGACCGATCAATCGGAACTTTTCTGGCCCTTGCTTCTTTGCTAGAGAGGATGGGGGATCCTGTCTTGTCACAGGGCAAGCGAGCTCCTAGTGGGCTTAGGCGGATGATCACTCCATCATCGAGCACAGATATTCACTTGGACGGCCCTGAAGATGGCGCCCGCCTTGGTCGGCCACGCAAAGTTAGGTCCTGCTAGTGAGGCGGGAGGCGCGAGTTGGTGCTGTGGGGCGGGGCCATGATGTGAAGCGGGAATGAATTACATTACCTTACTGCATCGTGGTCCCGCTGCTGGTCTGCTTGTGCTTGTCTGGTGGCTTGCTGGGTGCGGCCATGTCAACTTAGTTGAGGGGCCATCCACCCCGGTCGCCGCCAGTTTACAGACAGCCACTGGATGGATGGTGGTACAGCCAGCAGCACAGAAGTACTCGATATTATGTACGTCCATGGTTGGCGTGCACGTACGTTGCAGTCAAGTGTTGCTAGTGCTGCAAGATGAAGGCTACTGCTCCTGAGCTGCCCGGCTAATCTAGATTGGTCCGCGACCTGTGTGTGGGAGGAGCCAAGTGAATAGAGTACCCTGTCCGCCAGTTGTAGTAATACCCTACCTACATAGTACATACTTCGAAGGGGCAGATAGATCAACATCCACCGACGCAGGCAAGGTAGGCACCAACCGACGTCTGTCTAGGACTAAAATGGGCTGGGGGTGGGCAACATCTCTCTCGTAGGACCACCGAGTTATCTCCCGATGAGAGAGTGGACAACGGCAGCGCAACAACTACTCTATACTGCTAAGATACCCAAATCATCTAGATCACCGGGGGGGATTTCTGGTTGGCTGGTGAGGGAGTGTGGGGGCCAGATCTATATTTACACTTTGTACGGAGTACGGAGCACGGAATGGCGGACGTGGGCCACTCGAGCTTGGAGTGCGGCGGAGATACGCTAAGAGGCCTTCACCGTTGTTGACGTGCGCAACTTGCGGCTGCTAGTACGAATAGGTAGCGCCCCGAGAACAGCGTCCAGGGCACGGCTTCTCAAAAGAGACAATGAGAAGGAGGGCCAAGTGCCGATGGGGAAGGCCGATGCAGACGCCCAAGATGTTCGTTTCTTCCTTTTCCCTTCCATGACTGAGGACTGTTTCATCCTCGCGTGTGTCATTTTATCACAGCCTCAGCCCCGTTGACCCTTCCATTTCGCCAAAGTGTGGCGTAGCCCGAAGGGTGGTGGTGGTGGGTATATGGAACACAGGGTAAGGTAGGGAAGGCACCAGTAACAGCAGCATGCGAGTGTGGTTGAGCGGACCAGTAGGAGGGCGGCGTGGTGCGAGGTAGTGTGCGAGACACCACGAGAATGACTGCCCACATGCCTGCAAATTTTCAGCCTTGCTGCTGTTGTTGTCCTGGTGGAGGGCTGAGCTGGCCTGGCAGGTAGCATCGATGGAAATCAGGCCATTTAGTCCGGGGTGGTTGGCTACTGCGAGGGTTGCGACAGATCTGAGACAAGCCCAACGTCGTTGAGTGCTGCCCGCTGGCGAATGGGAAGGCGCCGATGCGCAAGCTTTACCCAGAGGGGCTAGATTTACTGCACCGGCCCTGGCATTGGGCTGAGGCAGGCGTCAAATCATGACGCACGCTTCTGTTGTGCCCCTCCTCCGCCCAGAGGCTGTCAACGAGGAAAAACAAGACCGACCGATGACCAACTGCGCCGGTAGTAGTGGTGCTATTACTACTACTAGGCAGTTATGGATGGATGCTATCCTCAACCGCACTAGGTAGGTAGCCACCTCGAAATCGACGGCGTATAGGCACTTATCCTCGAGGTACCTGTGCCAGCGTGTACGTCGGGGGGAGACAATGGGATGGTATGGCATGGCGGAGAGATGTGCGTGTCACACATTGTACTTGTGCCCAGCCTCCAAGGTAGCAGTCTTCGTAGAGTCGGCAGGTTGTAGGCAGCACGTCGGAACGGAGGTACTGTAGGTACTAACTTAATCCTGCGGCCTCGCGCTCTAACGCCGACGTGCTCGTCGCTCGCGTCCGTCCACGCCGGCATCGTTGCTTGGTTTTCACCTCGATATACGGCCGATGCTCGTGCCCAGTGGGCGTGATGCTCACGCTATGGCGCGACATTACGTTCACACATGATCCTGCTAACCTTTGTCGGCAGTTGGCATGCTTGGCCATGACTGGCCAACCTTTGCTGCTTGTGGTCTCCCAACAGCCGTGTGCGACGCTCTCTTGCTTAGGCCGAGTGTGGCAAGGAAGCCATGGCTTCCCATCGACAAATCTCCAATGAGCTCGTATTTTGCCAACTCCACACACTTCGTTGGGCCCCGCCCTTTTGGCCCTTTGGTGCCAGTTCCCGGCCGGACCCTTTGTGCTCTACCTATCGGCAGCCCTCATTGTGGTGTGAGTGAGGCAGGATCGGGTTTCTGTTGCTTGCTTGTTTGAACTGACAGCTCGTGCGAAAAAGCAACGTGCAAAAGTTAGACCCGAAAATCAAGCAGAAAAAGAAAGCCAATACGAGCACCAAAATGGTGCCTAAACTCCAGGTTCCTGAATCCAGAACAGAACGCCGAGTTTAATTCGCGACTGACCAAACAAGGATCTGTTACAAGATTCGCTGTCAAATTACGTGGCCCGGTTCTGCTGTCGGCGATCTGGAGGGTCTTCGCCTTGATGGCCAGTGCCGGTTATTCTTAGATTAACTCACCCTGCAATCCAGGAACGTTTGATAGCGGCCACCATCAGCGACTGCTAGAGGTAGTCAGTCAGTCGCACTTGCCGCCAGTGGGGTGAGTCGGAGGATTTGTACGGTGCCGTAATAGCCTGTAGGGAAAGTGCGGTTCCAGTGTGGATCGCCCTCTGGAGCCAGCCTGCTGCTAGACAGCTACCTAAGCTGCGATTGTACAAACGGAGGCCCGGATCGCCATCCATCATCTCAGCCGGGAGGCACCAATCTGGCCGGGCAGATAGAGAGATACCTTGCGCACATGACCCCTCGTTGGGCGTCTTGACTGCTTTTTTCGTTTCTTGTTTTGCCTTCCCTTACCCCGTCTTTCCATCCCGCCCTGCCATGTCCAGACACCACTCTGGCCCGTCCTGCTCGCGTAGCAGGCCTCGGATGGACAGATGAGGACGCTAGCGCATCTCTCCAGGCCATTAGCCAATGGCCGGCGAGCGCAAGAAACTGCCGTGCGCAGGCTGGGGAGCACTGCTGTTTCCCACATCAGGCTCCCCACCCCAGAGTGCATCTTGTCCGGTGTTGCAGTGCATGGCCCAGCCCATTGTCATGAGTGGGAACTCAATTCACCTGGCCCGGTTACATGCACGATTCGCGGCACCCTTTAGAATCGCTGGGAAAGCCGCTCCTGGTGCGAATCCCAGGGTACCCGGACCGATGTGTTGTGCTTCAGACCCAGCTTTATTCGACGCCCACCCCCCCTTGGACCCTGAGCCGTCGCAACCCCCTTGACCCTTGCTCCAGAGCGCATCTCACTCTCTCCTCATCGACAACAAACATGTAACACACCAAGACCGCCTGGGCATGTAGGTGCGGGTCCCGGCCAACGTCGCTCATCCCGGTCTTGCAGATTAGGAGGAGATGTCACGCCCCCGCCTCTCCTTGCCTGGAACATCCCAAGCAGGCTGTGGGCGCAAGGATGATGCCTCTACTGGCGTCGACAGCTGTACAACATCTCGTCTTATACCTCCTCGAGCACCCGGCTACACCCTCCCCTCTATATTCCTTTTGTCCCGTTTTCGTTATACGTATTCTCGACATTATTTTCTTTTCTACCTACTCTGCCCCGGATCTTATTCGCTCGCTCATCAAAATCCTACCGTCTATAATACAAATCATATAGGTACATTACCTTCACTCACTCCCTCGAGAGAGCCAGCCCGTTCTCTCTCATTAACCACCCACGACCTCGCGTCAATCGCTCTCTTGTCAAGGTTTTCCTTTTTACCTCTTCATTACCTTAATTGGAAATTCGCCCCTCCCTTACGAGTCTTTTTCTTGCCGGGTCAGGTACTCGGCTCGCTCTTCCAGCTCCACGCTTCCTTGTCTCGACCTCAGTACATCAGAAGCAAGCCTGATTAAGGCACGATACCCCATAATCGAGTAAGTTATGCATGCCTAGACCCGCGCTAGATGATGTGGTGTTGACATGAGCTGTCCGCCTGTACTTTCCCTGTGGGGGCCACTCGCTGACCTTGCAATCCCTAGTCCTACAGCCTCTCATTAAAGTAGTATACCTTGCCCAGTTCTTCCGTCATGGATTCGGCTCATCTGAAGTTGTATGTTCTTTTTTGTTTTTTACATGTCCTCCTGTTACGACCCATCACGACTATTAACTGACAATACCCCCCATCTGAAGACGCTCCAAGTTCCAACGAGCCTTCTTCACATCCAATCCTGACAACACCCTCTATACCCAAGAAGCACCTCAGACACCTCCTTGTATCACAATGTCAGAAGACGACGTCTCATGTAAGGTTGAAGTACCAACGCCTCAGGAGGCATGGTCGACGCCAGCATCTCAACAAGGACTTACACCCACTACCATGGCTGGGGGCTTCAACTTCTGCATGCCCATGGACCAGATCTCACAGCCTTCTCTGGATTCATCATCAGTACAACAAACTCCCAGCGAAACGCCTTCGCGGCCAATGTCTTCACACAAGGAAATCCAGCCTCCGACGACGGGTGAAGAGAGTAAGTAGCGCACCGGAACCATCCCTCACTCATGAACCCCTCCCGCTAACATGCCATCGCTAGACTTTTGGGCTCAAAAATCATATGACGGACAGTTCCAACACTTCCATGGAGCTGGAGCTGGACAAGACATGCGAATGTGCCAGGACTTTCATACCGAAGAAGCCATTCCTATTCTCGACCTGGAGCACCAGGAGGGATACCAAAATTCATACCAGATGAACTTTGACGACGTCGCCCACTCTCGCAGAATATCTGGCTCATCCTTCACCATGTCTACTTCTGGTGCCTTGTCAGATATGCAGTCTTACGATGACTTCTCGACAGCTCTCTCCGACGCGCCCTCTTTCTGCTCAGAGTACCCCCCACCATCCAATCGCACTTCTTGGATGTCGTCCACCCATCTCTCGCCCGTGGCTTCTCCACGCATGACAGCACAGGGCTGCCGTCCTGATATTGCCCGGACTCAGAGCCGTGGACGAGCATCCCCTTCGCCGCGACCTAGCATCCGATCCGCGCCCTACAGCATTGAGACCCCAAGAAACGCAAAGCGATGGTCTACAGGATCCTATGGCACCATGTCAACCCGCCGCCCATCGCCCTTTGTGTACCACCCCGGACAAGAAGCCCATGGTGCGCACCAGCAGCGTATGTCCTCGCGCGACCTTTCTCTCCCCTCTCACCCCCTCAGCAACCACGTCCCACTGACACATGGTCTTGAAATAGCACACGCACAGCCCCCATTCCTCATGACTTGCGGACCTACAGTTCAGAGCCAGAGGAACAGTATGCTCCTACCTACTCAACTACCCTCGCAGACTCTTCAGAGTGACGCCCGACCATACGACGCCCCCGCTCCTCTAATGTCGCACGGTCTCTTCAGAATGCTCCAGAGTAACGCTGACGCTCATTCTCTCCACCGCCGCTTCGCTGAGCTGTCTGAGCCCCCGGACTTGTTCGGTGCTCTCAACGAGGAGCAGGAAGCCCCTCCCGAGGAGGACATGAACCCCTCCGACCCCGATCTGACCCCCCGAGAGCAGGACCTGAGATTCGAGGGCGACCTGTATACCCCTCGGTGGGTCCGCGGACATGGCAACAAGCGCGAGGGCTGGTGCGGCATCTGCAAGCCTGGACGATGGCTGGTCCTCAAGAACTCGGCCTACTGGTACGACAAGTCCTTCTCTCACGGCATCAGCGCCGCGACCGGCAGCTCCTTCCAGCAGCCTCTTGAGACGCGGCGCATGGATGGAAACCCCGACGTCTGGGAAGGTCTGTGCGGCAGCTGTAACGAGTGGATTGCTCTCGTGAGCAGCAAGAAGAAGGGAACCACTTGGTTCAGACACGCCTACAAGGTATGTACAGGCATCGCACATTCCCCCAAAAAAGCAAAAAAGAAAAGAAAAAAAAAAGTTGAATTACGTATCGCTAACTAGGGGACTCGCAGTGTCACTCCCACGCCAAAGCCAAAGACTCGGCCAAGAGACGACGTGGTAGCAGCAATAACCGAGGGCTCCCTGCTCCGGCTCTCCATAAAATGAACAGGGGCGACCAGGCTGTGACACCGCACCCGACCTCGTCGCCCATCACAGCCACGCAGATGCCGGCCACCACCATGCCCCACGTTTCCTGCCATCCTCACCACCACCACCATCACCACCACGCCCTCATGCCGACCCAGATGCCGCAGGCTCTGCTCGCGAACGACCCCTACCCCAATATGATTTAATCCATCGAGTGTTGACCATCGATAATATGGGTCCCGGACTGGGCCTGGGGCTCGGTACCAAAACCCAGTACATCCTGGCGATGGGCGCATGAAGGAACGACTGATACGGAAATGGGCATGGGATGGCTTTTGCATTGGCCTCGACGTTTTCAACAATACCTCTCTCTCACTGACCCCTCTTCTCGCAACTACTATTTATAAATGTGGTGATATCGGAAGCCTGGGGCTTCCCTCGCTACACCCTCTACTTGTTTGCGAGACGAAAGGGTTCTGTCACTTGGATCGAGTTTTTTTGCCGTGGAGTTTCATTAGAGAAAAAAAGGGCACTTGTAGGTAGATATTAGGTAGAAAGGATTCTGCATCGTTTGTTGTCTTTCGGTATTTGTTTTTTTTTCCTGTTTTCTGCTCGACTATTATCATGTTTGGATGTTACGAAATGGCTATTAGGGAAAATCTACGGGTCTGCTGGCCAGCCAAAATCTTAGTATAGTAGTATCTAGATAAAAAAAAATTGCACTGAACGATGACTTCGGTCAAGCACTTGCAGGTTCCTCCCCAGAGATTCCCCTTCCCCTGCCCAAGGTTCCTCGGACCCAAACGTCTGGTGTCTCTTCGCGTGCTCGAAAGGGCATCCTCTTGCCCTGTTACTCCTCGATTTCTACTAGGCTAGACGTCCCGTAATGTCGGCCTGAGCCCATTGGGGTACCACTCGGTAGGTTCCTGGCGTGAGAGTGTAGGGAGCTACCAGGCAGGTACTCCAATCATGATCCCGGGCTAGGTACCTACCGACCTCCCCTAACCAGTCGCAGCAGCAACAGGGACTGGGGCCAGACGCCCGCTGCCCATCAGAGTTGAGCCCACAAGGCGCTGTGGTTAGTGTCCCTGCCGCCCTGTGCTTTAGCACGCACAGGTGCTCCGTCACCTGAACGACAGCGAATTTTCTGCGCTGAAGGGCAGCCCCGAGCCGTCTAAGAAGATGCACGAAGTCATGCACCTCGGGTATACTCGGACTCCTGACTCTAGAGGAGAGCAGCAGGTATGACCCTTGCTGCATCTTGAGGTGATGAATGCGTGCGAGCTGCTGCGCGTGCGGGTTCGGTTTGTACACCGACCCCAGAGAATGTGACGGGCGCCGTGATTGGCCTGGGCGATCCCATAATGGCCGCCTCGACTGATAGTAGCCTTTCCCTTAGTCTCCTCGGCGCGCGGCTTACACCTGTACGTCCTCGAATCCTTCTCGTCCCCAAAAGGCAAGTATAACGAATATGCACAGTCTTGGGGCTCAAGGAGGGGTTCGGGGCTTTCGGACTAATTCGATCGATGGCATGTTGCTTGGGCAGGAAATCCAGGGTGTGGGCTCCTCGGGGAGAGAGCCCTACGAGGTCTTGACAGGGTGGTGCTAGTAATCTCGAGAGGGACGAGAGAGCGTCCTAGAGTTGAGGACCAGGTCCCAGGATGGTCGTATCACATTAGTGCCGTCATACTTGCTTCTTGTGATACTAGTCGACACAGCTAAACAGCCTGCTGCCGCTGTCGCAATCGTTGGCTAGTTTTATCGCATGTGCAAGGCGGAAGACTACGGCCCACGGGTCCAGGGCAGGGAGAGTGTCGACGAACAGGGTTCCCCTAGTCGAGAATTAAACATGCAAGGGGCGAGATCGTTCGTATTTTGTTGGCCGATGAGGAGGGGCGGATGTGATGTGAATCCAGAAATCTTGAAACATGGGGGCCAGGAAACTTTACCTGACCACTTACCTCGCTCAGGTAAGGTGTGGAGGAGGCACACCATCCATTGACTGCCCAAATCGGCCCCATTTGAGAAGACGTTGGAAAGCTTGACCCTTTTGGTTGACAGCATGCAGACCGGGCTTGTACTAACACGGCATACACATTGTGATGGAACGCCAGGCACCGCGACCGAGTCTGCTTGCGAACAATGGACGTGCATCTGGGATTTTGGTCTTGCATGTACATCGTCTTACCCCCACACACGGTCGAAGGGAGATGGATCGGAAAGGAGAAATGCCGTTTGGCCCAGAGTTAACAGGGCCTGTAGGCAGCTGCTCAACTGCCCATGTCCTTGACCTGGCCTCGACATGGAGCACCAACAAAGAGGGTAGGGTGTCTTGTGGAGTTACCACCCGGAACAAGGAGCAGGTCTTGAGCTTTTTGCTTGCGTCGTTAGTGGCTGAGGGTCAGCCACTCACCGCGATTACACGTGTACCATTAAGACTTGCTGGAATCGCGGCTTAGCCAGCCTGCAGCGCGTTTGATCCAGCATGTTGCCTGTCCGGATCGCACCAAACGGGTCTGCAATTCGTTGGCGTTGAGGGCCAGCTGCACCGTCCTTTTCCCGTGAATTCGCAAAGAGCCACCGGCGATGTGGATGTGGCCGTCGCCGACCCTAGGCCCAGGCTGACCCCCCAAGGCGCCGATGAGCGTCAACCTCCTCAATGATAACAAAAGGACGAGCCCAAGCCAGCTTGGCGAAGCCTGCCGACTAGGCTGCTTCGGGAGGGGTGTCGGTGTGCTACTCTCTGTATCGTCACAGACACGCCGACAAGCACGATGGAGAGAGCCAGTCGGCACAGGGAAACTTTGCTGCGCGTCCGACAAGTCCCGGATGAGGGAATCCCCATCTTGCCCGCCTCTTCCGCTGCGTCGCACCACCGGCCCGGGGTAAGATGCCCCTCTGGAGGCGATGCACTTCACCGGCTGTCTGATCGACACCCAGAATGCATACCTACGTAGCAATATGATTTACCGTGAAGCTATTACTGGCTCGGAGACTGGGCCCTAACACCGTCATCAAGTCTGAGTGTATACAAGCCATATTGGGGTTGCTATGATGCGACAACGAGCCGGGGATGGAACCCCCGGTGATTGCAGGTAGGGACTTGATGCTGTCCAAATCAAGCCGGATGTCTGGAAGAGGAAGCGTATGCAACGTAAATCTGGGGAGGGGGTGGGCTCGTCCATGGCGACCGCCATAAAAGAACAATCATCATGTCGCAAACGGGAGATTTCTGTTCGAGAAGGGGGAGTAGATTGCAAGGATTGCAACAACCACCTCCTGGTATTTGCTGGCTCTACGTCCATGGGTGAGTGATGAATGTCCTAATTAGGACCCAGTGTCGGACCACTGACTCCTAATATCAGCAGCAGTAAGAAGGGACGAACCTGCCAGGGGCTAAGACTGTCTCAGAAATCTGCCAGGCCGCATTCAATTGATCGAGCCAATTTATTCGCTCTCTAGCAAATGGAATGAGATCTACCGACACTTCGGTGGGGCACCTTGACAATGCCATGGTGAGTGTCGTGAACATGTTCACATTTTAGTGAGACAAGGACGTCTCAAGTCTCAGGATCAAGACCCATCTCGATGTGTGACTCATCAAGGTTTCGACCAGCCTGGCCATCGTTTCGGGCCGGGCTGCCTTGTTCGAATAGTTCGTCCGAAGAGAAGTTAATTGCCCTGATAGCCAGGAACCATCTGCCATTTGAGACGAAGTATAACAAGACGCTAGATGGATGAGAATGCAAGACGGCGGGGGAGGCTGTCATGGGGGATCGACGTTCCGCCAATGCACTAAACACCATCGCAGCCTCCGACATCCTCGACTCGGCTCACCATCGGCTATCGTATCATGATTGCCGGTAATGCCGTATGCACCTGGGTCTTAGGCGAAGTATACAAGAGGGCGAATAAAACCCCCCAGTATGGACGACTTTATCTGGTGGTTGCAGCTGTGTTTGAGTATGTTTGGCTGAGGCCGGAACGATTGGCTCACCGGCAAAGTTGGAGGATAGCCACATGCACCGCCATATGCAGTCACGACTGCTACCCACCCAGCTAAGCCATTTGGTCTCGATAGACTAGAATGATTTGATGAGAGAGTATTCGCGATGCGACCGAGCTTACTTCGTAGGTGTAGCAAGCCTCCATTGGCTTCCATCTCGCCATGGGAATTCCCGCTGCAAGCTGATCTAGATTTGTGGCTGCGCAGCTCTCAATCTCGTCTGTCTTATTTTGCTTCTGTTGACTTGGTTGAGAATTTCGGTGGAATCCGCCTGGTGCAATGGCCAAGCAGCCATTGGTGGCCGGACACTCGGAGTGACTTGGTCGTTTCGTTCATCCGGAAGCGGTGTTCTCTCTAGGCTTTAAATGTTTAGTAACGCCCTGACGAGAACCGCCATTGAGTTTGTGGTGGCGAGATGAGAGCTTGTACCCATACGCCTCTTGCAGTGCATACCTACCTACTACTAGGAGAGTTAGTTGGACGGATGCGACTGTGACAAATGTGGCTAATGCCTAGAGAAAGGCCATGATGCTATTCGGATCTCTGCGACAAAGAGTTGATCCGTTGGGCTGTACAAAGCCCTTCTTGACAAATCACTTGCATTAAATCTGGTTTTCGAGGTCCTTTCCTGTGGCTAGATTCCGAGACACTTCCGCAACGGACGCAGCTTGGGAATCCTCGATACAGCCACATGCTGCCTAATCGTATTTGTTTAAGTGTTTCATTCTAGCCTGAGGAGATGTATTTCAAGTGTTATCAAGTGGTTATTAAATGGGATGCATCTAACGCGAGCTGTCACCTCTACCCTAGCTCGTTTAATATAAGGGTTTAATAAAAACGAGCACGAGGCATTACTACGACTGAGGCATTGAGATATTGTGATCCAAAGCGCAAGTCAATGAAGGTCTACCAAGGGTCTCTCATAGCTTGTCACCTGTTATTTCGAGGAAAAGACCATGTAAGACATGGATGGATATCAATTGATAGCGATACTCGCTCAGCCGATTCTTCTCCTACTACATATGATTCGAAATCTTTGTTTCACGACTTGGGAAGGACTGAGCTTGTCTTAATAAAGTTTGATGCTACGATAAGCTAAGTCTGTCTACGCATAACGAATAGCCAGTCCGCTTTCTCCCACCTCACGCCTGCTCTAGGCGTTTTAGCAGCGTCTGCAACCAACAGCCAACAATAACAACAGGGCTGGCTCTGTAAACCAGAGCAAACTGGCAGGAACTGAACCGCCCTCCTCTACTATTTCCATTTCTTCTCCTTCTCTCTTGACAACTTCATTCTCGGAAGCAAACACACAATCGAATTTACCCACCAATTTTCGTGACCATGAATCCATATAGTTCGAATCCGGATGAGATCCCGGCAAGCGACAGGTACGCGGACTCACCGTTCTACGGCAGGTATTTCCCGAAGCCGAATGACTTTCGCGTCGACCTCCAGCATATCAACTCCCATTCTGAAGACTCTCTGAAGTACTGGGCTTCTATTGTTGCCCGCTGCAACGAATCCGCCCAGATATTCCCCGCAGGTGAAGGTGGCCGCGATGTCTTCGCTCTTGGTAGTGTTATCATTAAGTCGAGCCATTTGCACCAGGAAATGGAGATTGACTACACATATGCCGACACTAATGAAGTGCAATCTATCTCTATTGCTAAGACGGTCTTAAAGGGAGTGAGGGTTCCAGAAATCTTTTTTTCCGGCAGGGTATTATTTAATCTGCTCTCTAGCTTTAACCTAGCAGTTGACAAAATATCTGCAGATTAACGGACGACAAGTCCTAGTCCAGGAGAGGCTTCAAGGGGTTGGCTTGAATATCGCATGGCCCTATCTCTCGGGACAGCAGAGGGACTCGTTCAAAACGCAAGCTCGTGAACTACTCCGGCAGCTGAATTCTGTCACACCCCCTGGAGATGTACGGACTCGTACACATGTGGCTCAAGACCAAAATATTCTCACGAATGGCCGCATCCGCCCGATCGAGGCTGATATTCTATTCTCATCCAATATCGATGACGATATGGGCCTAATGCACAACGACTTCACCAGGTCTAACTGTATCGTAAACGATGACAAGATTGTGGGCTTGATTGATTGGGAAATGGCGGGTTATTTTGGTTGGAAGACAGCCGCTGAGGTCCACCGAAAGATCAGAAGTCCACAGAGAGAGCATTTCGCCAAAGTTGACTTGAGCGAGGAGGAGCTGCTTGAAATAATGTCATGGAACGATCTCTACGATAAGGAGTTGGAGAAAAACTGATAGCCTCGTCTATAATCCGCAAACACCCTGGTACGGTAGTAGTCCGTGCCATAATTTTGATTCGTTGGAAGTTGCCCACAGTCACAGATCCTGCGAGTACAGATGAAGGTTTGGGATGCTCGTATACTGCAAAACTCACTTTTCCCGTTGCTTACCACGAACGTGTTGGTGCACTAGCATGTTGATCTCCCTTCTCGCCTAGCTAGATGTACAATAGGAGATCGGGCAAACCATACGAGCATGTCCAAGGGAAATGCAGGCAGCGACAGCAGGTTCCGCCAACTTAGAGTACCTTCGGTTAGGTAACCTTAGTAGGTAGTGGGTAAGTACTTGCCTAGCCGCAATACAGAACAATGGAGGTGTACCTGAGTAGGTACCTTATGTTTACCTACCTACCTAGATAAGGTACCTTTTCCCCACCACGGATGGTTCCTCCATGGATTGGATGCATTCATTCTTGATGCTTTTGCCCAGTCAACCCCCGCTGTATCTCCTGTAAGCACCTCAGCCACTGGTAGTGTAGGAAGCTCGCCAGTCGGGTGTGACGAAAGTTTCAATCTCAACCAATCCTTGGGTGCACCTACCTAAATGCCTACTTTGAACACTAGTCTCCTCCTATCACGCCCCTTGCACTAAGCATTTCACTCCTGCCATCCCAGCCAACACCCTACTAGCTGTACGTCTAAACACTATTTGATAAAGAGTTTATTTCCAATAGCTGATACACTGGATTCCGTGAATGCTCGGTAAGACATACTTCTGCTTCTTCATTTCCTCCTCCGCCGCGTTTCTAGACTTTTTTGCTTTATGCGGCAATTGAGATTGCGGTAGTCTAAGACGGGACGGTTGTGCTGGAAAGGGAGTTAGCCGCCCATCGAACTTGGCGCCACTTTAGGCTTAGCACCAAGTCTTACAGGTATCTGCCTAGCACTCGACCACCAATCGAGGGAACATTGGTCGGTCACGCCAGCTCTCAATTTTGCGACCTGTGCAGCTCTTTCCCCTCTCACCAAGCTTCCCGAGGTCAAGACGACAGCCTCGTTGATTGCGACAATTCGACAGGAAAGCCTGAGCTGGGAGCTGTGCGCTAATTCAGGCTTGTTTCTCCCGAAAGGAGTCGTGCGGCGCTTTGCTTTCCCCCTACTCTGTGCACCGGCCGGGCAGTTCGAAGTGTACCGGATTCCTGATACACTCCCCTCGTTTCTCGCAAGTACGTACTTGTTCTCCCTTCGCTTTCACTCGGTTGGTAGGGCTGCAGAGCGGACATGCACTAACCACTATCCAAAATAGAGCCCTTGTTTGCCTTTTTGTTTACGACCTTTGATGACTCTTGGATAATAAGCCGAAGCTTTTACGACCCTAGACTTGCATTGCATACTTTTCTTCTTCCTGCATATCCGATATCAACCACTTGTTTCGCTTTCACGACCCTTTGTCTACGAACGTCTATCTAATTCAACCAACCCCTGGCAAGACAACAAACCTAATTTGATCTGAACATCCAACGTTTATCCCGTTGCCTACGAAACATTCGGTCGATTATAATTGTAACTGGTATGGTAGCCCTTGCCAGTAAGAACCTGTTAGAGCTGCCATGAGTGGGGATCAACTGTCTTCCAGGTAGCTCGTTACTAGATCACCTCTCATATATGTAATGTAATGTCTCAGCTGACAGACATTATTCTAGCAGCTTTGGGGATCCAAACGCCCACTCATCTACCCCTAGACAAACCCCAACCTCTGCCACCTTCCCCAGTCCTGTCCTCAGCACCCCTAAGCAGCAATTAGGCCAGTTCAACGACGGTGCCTCCTGGACGCCACGATTTGCCGAGGACTATTCCGTCTTCAACTCAACCCCGGGTAACCTGCGAGCAACACAGGGCCCCTTTCTTGACGCTGTGTCGATTACACATACGGACCATTCTCTTAGGAACAAACCACTACTATATACCGAGAGTTCTACGGCAGAAAACTCATTCTACAACGGACTTCTTTCTCCCGACACTAATTTACAACTGCCGTATGCCGAGCCTATAAATTCGGAATTGCCCACTGCTAACTTGGCCGATCTCCACAAGGAGCAAGCACCGAAGCCTGACTCCCGATCGAATCCGCGGCCCCCGAAACAAGCAAGTGAAAAGCCAGCCAAGCGAGTAGCAACAAAGAGGGAAAATCCGCTTCAAACTGTCACACCCCCGCCTACCACACACAAGGGCAGGCGTAAGCTTGCCCCCAGGCTCAAGATGCAAGAAGATCAGAGCTATGGGCAGCCAGACTTGATGGATCCTTCACAAGCGGCGGACATGCAAGCCTTCCTGGGCCATGCGGGCGACTTTTTTGGCTACCCAATGTCAGCTCCAGCCACAGCGCCAGAAACCTTCTGGGATCCGTCAGCGATGAACCTTCCAATGGACATGGACTTTAGCGCCACCGCTCAGAATCTCTTCCCCCAGCCTGGAACCTCATACCACCGTCCGTCCGGTTCATTCGATTGGAATAATGAGGTCCCTCTCTTTCAGACCCCCCAAGAACCAGCCCCGACGTCAAGTCAAGAGACGATCCGTCAGCCTCCTCGACGTGAAAGAGCCTTGGCTCCCAAGCCCCCGGCCCTTGAACAGTTGCCTGCCACGACAAGTACCCATCCAACAATCACCTCTTTCGAAGCAGTTTCAGAAAATCCGTTTGGCATTGTGAACCATATAGGGGCAGTTGATCCAGGAATGCTGCTCAGTCGTCCCCAGACATCACCAGATGACGTCAATTTCCATCCATCCACCAACCTTGGACTTCAGGGAAACACGGTTCCTTCAGTCCCTACCAGGGTCCCTTCCGCCGACGGCATTCGTCGAACTGCGAGTTTCAAAAATATGACCGAGGGCAAAGTGCCGGACAGACGATTGACAAGGTCACCTGTCAAACCTGTGCCTACTCGCCCCAACCTAGGTAGAAGTCAAAGCGAAAATCGTGGACGGAGGTCAATTGCAAGAGGGCCGGTCGTGAATCAAACTGCGGTTGCCAGGCCTCTTTCACAGACAAGATCTGGCTCAGGTATCGAAACGGGGAGGCCCAGTACTAGAGCTTCGGGCAGGGTTTCCCCACTGAAACGGCATCGACTCTCAGGGCTGACTTCTATTCCGGAATCTGCGTCTCGGGGTATAGCAAGTGCTTCGATTCGGTTCACTATCGATTCCAACGGGCGTGCTCGAGCCGAGGCTGCGCATTCGATGTATGAAAGCAGGGCGAATACCACCAGGAGCCGCTCGTCGGATGGCTCGCAGTCTTGGAACGAGTCGGGTGATGAATCATCTTCTGACGATGAACCAATCATTATTCCTAGCCGCACTTCCTCCTTCAACACCTCGTTTGCCCTCCCAGATCCCTTGAAGCCTGTAGGCTCCATATTCCACTCATCCAGACGTAGCATTAGCGATAGGAGCACAAGTACGGTCAACGCTCCTGATACACCGAATATCCTAATTGCCCACGATGCCGAAAGTGAGGCTGAGACACTGATGAACGATGCCCAGGATCAGGAGGGAGATGCTGCGAGTGAGCTACTCAAGTTGATCGAGAACCGGAGGAACCGTTCGGGACATCTGGTAGGCGCTGGAGCCAACCGATTATCAGCAAACCACATCGGTAGGCGTAGCAACAGCCGGTCGCCGGCTAGTCTGAATGACATAATGGAGATTCGATGTGTGTGTCACCGGAACGGTACTGATGAGAATGACGGTTATATGGTCCGGTGGTAGGTGCCAACCCCCCAACAAAGCTTGGAACCAGTTCTAACATGTGATGAAAAGCGATTCCTGCGAGATGTGGCTTCATGGTCATTGTATCAAAATTACCCAGCGAACATTACCGAGGGTTTACATCTGTGTGTTTTGTGTCCAAACACCACACGTCCGGGGCGGGCGGATGAGAAGCAGTGGGAATGTGGGAACCGGGAGAGCGACATCACCCTTGGCGAACAAGTCGTTCAAGATGTTGAGATGAGCTTATAATGTTTGGAATTGTGTAGTCCCTTTGTTGCATTCTGGCATGTCTGGGTAGCGATTGTTTGGTGTTGCCTCTGTTTCGGTTTCAATGTAGTGGTATAGAGTAGACGGGCTCCCTGCCTGCTATGATGACGATATATGGAAGAAAAGCTACGCAACCGCATATGACGGACACCCTAGGTAGTAATGACTTGCCCACTGGGGGTCCAAAACTTATATGTTTGTAACGAAGGCTCAATGACCACTGATTTTGGTGTGCTATGATGGGTCTTACGATTATTTGCTGGCTGGTGTGAACCGGGTATCAATGCAGCACCCGGGTGATGTGTTGCCAGTCAAGAGGCTTCCTGGGTGCCTGAACGACACCGTTTCCCCACAGTCAAAGCTGGCCATGCAGGCGATACCTGTAGGTATCTCTCAGATAGGCAATGGGGATGCACATGCTAGTGAAATTTTCCCTGGTGTGTACGCATGTGTGCCCAGCGCCTGGCCAGGTCATTCCTCGCTTTGGAACAGATGATGGGGGGGGGGAGACGAAGGGCTAACCTCATCCCTGACGCTGCTGCATGCCATGGAAGCTGGAGGAAACAGCCTGAAGTTCCCTTCTTTCTACCCAAGAGTGGCCCCCTCCTCCCTGACCGCCTCTCGCTTTGCCTTTACCACTCCTCCAGACGACGAGCAGATTAGTGTTGATAGATGTATCGGTACGTAAGTACGTAGGTATTATTTGGGCATACCTAGTAAGAGGATGCAATTCAAAGGTAACGAATATTGGAGAGAGTGCTGTGCTGCCATTGAGCCGATGTCGGCGAGGGGTGCCAAAGCCATGTAAGATGATGATATGCGGGGCAGAGAAGCGATTCACAGCCGCCGACATCGACGGAAGTTATGAACACACCCCACGCTCCCTCTCCCACTTCCTCGCCAGCTACCTCTCCAGGTCAGCTTATCTGTTCGAGAAATTCTACTGACCTTGCAGTAAAATCGGTCGAGTAAATAGCAGAAAGCTTCTTAATTGTGGCGAGACAAGATGGCGGAACACAGCATTGTCGTACTCGCAGGGTCTTGAGGTGGACAGCCCTTCGCTCCCTCGCATCGATGCAATTCGCCAACTCCCAGCTGCCAGGCCGTTGCCGAGGGTATCAAGCTGTGAGCCTTTGGTCCTAAAGACGTCTCCCAATACTCCCAACGGCCGATGCAGATTCTCAAGACAATCGAGGTCCAACAAGCACAGCACGGGCAGGTTCAATGTCTGGGAGCACCTGATGGGGTCTGCCCCCTCCCTCGAACAATCAACCCGCCTTTAACACGTATATCCAGTGATCCATCGACGCAACCGCCCCCCTCACCGACTAAACCCTCGAAGCCATCGGTGGCCCTAGGCAGGGCCTGCTCAAGCTTTGCAAGGAGATGGGCACCAATGGCAACCTCCGCCCGTGCTTCTTCGCCTCCGATCCCCTCAAGGCCAGCGTCTGCCGGGGTACTGACTTTCGTTATTGTTCGCGAGCTCACTAGGCTGCATCTGCTTCGGCGGGACGGAAGTTTGGTTTCACGATAAGGCAGACGCTTTCGCTACTAGCCAGCTGTGGCGCAAGGCCATGACCGAGACGTTTTAAGTGTGAATCCCCCGGGGCCTCAATGCCGAGCACCAGCTCATCGACAGCGCCGCCATGATCATGGTCAATAAGCCGCCGCCCCCCCCCAACCGACCTCAACGGCGTCGTCGTCACAAGCAAACCCGTCCGGCGACATCATCAGCGACGAGGCCAGCGTCATCCCCGGCCGGGAAGGGCAAGGTGCAACGGTGCAACGATGTCTACGAGCCCTATTCACGGTAAGTCTTTTCCTCGAACTCACTTGTTGCATTCATGCCCCTTTTGATGAAAGACCGAGGATGCCAAGACCGTCGAGGTTGGCGACGAGATCGTCAAGCAGCTGACGAGCATCCTCAAGGCATGAAAGTAAGAAGTAAACGTAAAACTGAAAATGAATAAAATAAGATTCAAATATATGTAAGTTTGAAAAGTCGATAAAAAGGGGAAGACCAAAGCCTCGTGAAAATACGAAAAGGTCATTTGCATTCCCTCGGCATTCACATGGACATGGACAGGTGTAAGTTCCATCGGTGTGTAAGCTACATGTACTCTGAGGTATCAAAGCCCATACCACGAGTAACAATGCATCACCCCGGGGTGAGCTTCCAATCATAGGAGCAAACATCCAAGATGCCCACACACAAAGACGACTCGGAAGGAACAGCATCCCTAGACCCCGAGATCCAAACACACTACAACATCATGTACCATGCCGGGATGAGTCACTTGCGTATTGATGTGTGGCACCTTCACACGGTAGACAGAGAAAGAGGTAAAGTAAAATAGAAAGAAGTTCTTTTCATATACCTATAGAAGACCTGGGCAAGCAAGAGGAGCGAGCATCAGCAAGTGGAGGAATAAGGGAAAACAGATATAATGAAATTGTTCCTAAGGCTCCCCTCCCAAAAAACCGCCCAAGCACAGCCCAATGAACCAGCAAAGACAAACCCTATGGTCAGCGTATTTCGTTGCGTTCAGTTATATTTTTGGCCCCTTTTTCACTTTTCTTCATTCTTTGCGAGTTCCAAACAGTAAATTCTTTTTTTGACATTCATCGAACATTCTCAAACCATAGGGAATTTATGGTTTAGAAGTCCTAGGCAAACCCCTATCCTATTCCTAGACGCACCCAGATGACGGCGAGATCGTAAAGGGGTTGCACTCACATCCGACGTGTGAGATGTGCCGGGCTGCATTTATTTGCCGAGGCTGGGGAAGGCAGACTCATCCTTAGTGTTGATAGAGGCAGCAGGAGCATCACGGCCGCCACGGCCGCCACGGAAGTTGCCTCCACGTCCACCACGTCCCTCGCCACGGCCACGGCCACCACCGCGGCCGCCACGAGCGCCACCACGAGTGCGCTCGGGCTCGACAAAGCGGGGGTCGAAGTCAACGGTCTGCTTGACCTTGCGCTCACGCTCACGCTGCTTCTTACCGTGGCCACCAGCGTGGTACTCCTCCTCGTGGTTCTCGAGAGGCTTGGCGCTCTGCCACTTCTTGTCGAGTTTGCTACCCTCGTTGGCCTCACGAATGTTAAGGGAGTCCTCAAGCGTGAGCTTCTTCTCGGCTTGTTGAGCGAGGTAGTCGGAGTAGGAGACGGACTTGTCCTCGGGCTCAGCGGCCTCTTCGGCAGCGTCCTCAGCAGCGGCATCCTTCTGCTCGGTCTGGGCAATGGCATCACCGGCCTGCTCATCCTTCAGCTCGGCGGTGCCCTCAGCAGCGCCCCAGGAGGCGGCAGCCTGCTTATCGGAGCCACTATGATACACAGTTAGCTCGACGAAACGAAGTCAATATTTAGAATGGAAAGAATAATTACCCCTGGGTAGCGGACTTGGTGTGACGGTCATCACTGTCACGGGGGCGACGGGAGCCACGGCCTATGAAACAGTCATGTTAGACATTTAGGCTCCAAGGGGGGGGCTTACGCCAACAACGGATGATATGCGGGCGCACATCATGTGTACTTTGATAGCAACATGGAACTTACCACCACGGACACGGGCACCGGCACCGCCTCGGGGTCCTCGGGGACCAGACTGCTCCTCTGTGGAGCGGCCGTGGTTGCGTCCAGAGCCAGCATCACGGTCACGGAAGGCTGAACGACGAGAGAGATAGGTTAGCCAGAGGTTCAATTGGACCCGAGAGTACGGCCAAGGCCAAGCCGCCCCCAAGAGGGGTAAGAGGGATATATATCAACTCACCACCCTCGTTGCCGCCAGGACCTCCACGGCGGTTGCCACCAGGGCCACGAGTGGGAGGCTGGGGCTCAACGTTGCGCTTAGCAGTGCGAGGGGTCTGCTTATCGACGGTCTTCACGGGGACGGGGATCTTCTCCTCGCCATCGTCGTCGTTGCCTAAACGCCCAGAAGCATGTTTGTTAGCGCTGTTGCCCAAGTATACAGTATCATGTCCATCCACGGCCCCTCTCCCCGCATCTACCCATCACATAATGGTCCTCGGTGACACGACAAGCAACGAGGGTGCAATCAAACCCTCGATATTCATCGCTCAAGGGACCATCAGAGGTAACCGCTTCGCAAGGGGGAGGGCGGAGGATCATGAGAAGAGCATCGTACCGAGGTAGGCAAACAGGTTCTGCGAGCACAGGTCAGCCAGGGTTCCCCTCCATAATTTGTAAAATACCCCGATGGAAGAGGAAATAATTCATGAAGCAGGAAGGAAAGCAGCAGATTCGCAGCGCCTGTGCCAGTCGCAATTGAATGGTCGAATCGTGGCACGGCACCTCGAGGAACGGGCCACAAAAAGTGCTAAGTGATGATGGAGGGCACACACAAAAAAAATACTAGAGCAAGAAGAACAAACGCACCTTAGAGGCGACCGACATCTTGGCCGCCTGGCTTATCGCCTTCTTTCAAGGCGAAAAGGATGAATTGGCGACAGTGAAGAAGAGCGCTTGCAGCAGCTTCGGGAGGTGGAGAGGAAGAAAAACGTAGCGTCAACGTCGCATGACCCGTGGATGAGGGAAAGAGGGTTTGGACCGCCGGGGGAAGCAGAAAGCTGTGATGCAGTTTCGAGGGTAGAGAATCGCACCTACTGGGGGGGGCAGCAGGCTGGGGGAGTGGGGATGGTGGTAAACCGGCGCTGGAGCCAGTGCCGGAATGCCTGCGGCACCAAGGGCTCAGAGCACCTGCGTGCACTGACTTATGGGGCCTGTTTTGCACATCAGATACCTGATTTTCAATGTTTTAGAGGGGCTCGGGCTGCTTCCAGTGGGTGTTTACCCCCAGCAGCCATGGCCGGATCTTGCATGCGGCACTGTGTCCGCACCGTGGCACCTTGCCCTTTGCATGGGTGAGGGCGTCACCATGACTGCTTCGTGTTGGACAATTGCACATGCTGCGACCATCGCCGCTTTGTGTCATTTCTCGCTCCTTGCTAGCCAGCCAGGGAAGCGCCTCCTAACCCATACGGCGGTTGATTAGCCTCGCCAAACCGGCAGGTACAACATCCAAGGAAGGTTTCGCAACGGGTACTGTGCAAACTCGTTCAGGGTTTAATTACTAAACCATGAGCCGATGGCCAGAATACAGTGTGTCACACAGTGTGGTCTCGACTCCCTGCCTGCCACAATCGTATCGCCCTCTGCCTCACTCTCGAGGCGCAGGCTTCACATGCATTCGCAGGTCTCTGCTGGCCTGGGTAGTATTCTCTTACCAAAGCAGCCTCCTGAAATTACCTGTCTCGAGCCGCGCCCGCTAGTGAACCGTGGGAGAGGAAAAATTTTATGCAGCTGGATGCTCGCTTAATTTCGTCATATTCGCTGGGTTTTTTTTGTGGTCAACCAACAGCACGGTTAGGGCTATTCTTGCTGTCAAGCTGCTCGAGTACGTAATTCGCCAAAGTCTCAGCTCAGCAGTAGGTCCTTTTCCCGGTCATTATCCGGGATCGGCAGCCTGCCGTCTCTGTGCATCCCCCGCATAGCTTCGTCCGTATTTCGGAGCGTATTAATGTGCTATACTGGATCCGTACTTCACAGCATGCAAAGGGATAGCTCAACTTGACCAAGGGGGGACGAGTCTGCTCTAGTGAGATGACGACAACTGCTGCTTGGGGAATCTCGTTCGATCTAATGCTGCTGAAGTAAAGTATAATCTTAAACAGGTTGCTAATAGGGGTACTAAAGTTCAAAGTCAATGCCAATTCCAATGCTCTTACAGCTGCATGTTACCAAAGCATCCTCCTCATCGTCCGGTTAAGAACTTCCTCAGCTCAGCTCCTACGCTTCTTAATTTCCCACCTTCTCGCGTGCTTCGAGCCCTTGACCCAGTCCTGCTTCTCTCTGATGACCTGGTGCCCTCCGACGATCTACTTGGAGGGGGAGGGCTAGCAGCAGCGCTCGGCGGTGTGACTGTACGCGCCGTTACTGAAGCCAGGGCGGTACTTCTCCTTACGAGATCCAGTGGCGGCGGAGGAGATCCATGTCTCTTCCGATCTATGGAGGTTATAGGGTGGTATTCTTCCACGTACTCTGACGAGTGCGCGTCATTCTCACGCTGCAATTGGGTCAATCGTGTAATGATCTGAGCTGTGGCTAGGTCTGTCGACACCGCCTCGGTCGTGAGCTGTGATGTGCTGAGGCAATCTGGGAATTCTGGCGGCGTCAAATACGCAGAACAAAGGGTCTCGGACCCGCGTGTCCGTGCCCTCAGTCGTGATGAGGGGCGTTGGAGCGGCTCTTCTCTTACAACAGTGGGCTGTCGTTTAAAGTTCACAACACTTGAATCGACAGACCAAAAAGGGGTCTCGCTTGCTGCCGTTGTGAGTGGGATTTCCCGCGACGCTGGTAGAATTGCGTCTCTGCCATCCACACCAGGTGAACGTGTGAACCGTATCGTAGGAGTACCAGATCGAGTGCTGTCAGAATGTGGAGAGCTTCGAGTTTCACTATTCGCGTTGGGAGATAGCCCAAGTTCCTGATCCCACGTACTTGTAGGTAGAGGACGCGGCTGGAACCAGGGAATAGGTTTCAACGGACTCGGTTTGAAAGACGGCCCATTGATCGGGTCGAAAAGATTCACCCATATAGTCGAGTCTTGCAATGCGCCTTCACCAGCCCCATCTATCCCGAAACCTCGTGACAGCTTCCCCGTCTCCAGGTTCGTTGCTCTTGCTTTCCCTTTACTGCCGTGTCTCCCTGCCTCTCCCTCCCGCTCCTCCCATCTCTTCCTCGTCACTCCGGCATCATACCTCTCCACACGCCTCAGCCCTCTTTTGACCAAGACTTCCTCGTTTACCCCATCCACCTCGGAGTCGACCATGCAAGGCGCACATATGGGCGCCTCTGTCAACTCTTTCCCTCTCCCATTCTTCTGCTTGGGCTCTCCCGCAAAGAGCGCCGGTATTTTGACGCCGCGGTGAACGAGTCTGTTGCCGCAGAGCAAACAGCCGTAGCAGGCCTTGTGCCAGAAACACCAACCAAAGCTGACGCAGTCTTCCCCGCGGAAGATGAGCTCCCCGCACACCTAGTAGATGGAGAGGTCCAGCAGGGTCGTGCAACAGGTTTTGCAGGCGAGACGGGCAGAGTGGCCCAGGATTTGCGGCGGTCCGGAGGACAGGCGGAAGCAAAATGTGCATGTGAAAAGGTTGGCAGACGTAGTGGAGGTCATGACCGCAGCGATGGACAACGAAGGAGTGGAGGGGCTGAAAGGGAGAGGACAAACGAAGCAAAGCTAAAATAAGAGTAGCACAGCGAGGCCAGAGCCATTGAAAATAGATTTGAGGGGATGGGTTTGGAAACGTCACGACTGGGTGAAGGTACTTGACGATCACGCAATCAAATATCCGTGTGCCTTTCACTTAGGCAGGCACGAGGGGGAAGCATCATCACGCGGAGAAGGAATAGGGAAACGCAAAATAATTAGTCTTTCTTGTTTGTTCAAGCATCCAATCTTTGTACCGCCTGTAATCCTCGAAACCGTTCCCTTTTCCTTCAAACTCCATGTTCTGTGACCTTTTGAACTAATGCAAAGAAAACCGAAATCATACAATAATTTACACATAACTCCGAAAAATGAATCAATCTGCTGCACGATAGGCAGCTTTTGAAGTTGGCTCAATATGCAGGATGAAAGCTGAGCAGCCACCCAACAAAATATGCAACGCAAAGCTAACGCCATGTTCGCCCTAAACACCACTTGTCATTAAGTCATGGCTGCGTCAGACGACATAATGACTACTAGCCAGGGGACGAGCCCATCTAGGCCCGGTGTTTAGGTCGGGCAAGCATGTTAAGGCGGCTCATACTCAACCCACCACGTTTCTTGCTTGGGGTGGCCGAGCCAGGAGTTTTGTTCACCGAACGTCCCACCTGAGTCTTTTTAACGCTGCCTGGGGTGGCTCCAACTAGGCGAGGGGCAAGCAGAGCTTGGCCTTCAGGAACATGCTCATTCTTCGCCTTCTTAGCTGCTCGTTCAGCAGCTTCCTTCTCTGCATCATCCTCGTCCCATGTTGCCCTGTGGCGCTTCTTGTTTGACATCCCATGGGGAGCTCCAAGAATAATATTTGACGAGGGCGGGACCCTATTCTCCTTATTGGGATGTGTGCTAGGGGAAGGCAAAGCTGGAAAGCTGCCAGGCATGTTTGCCGCCTTGGGGGCAATAGAGCTTCGGACCTGACGCACGCTAGACTGACCAGGAGATGCACCGAAACCAGACGATGAAGCGGCTCCAAAACTGATAGTGTGGTCGGATCGGAATGAGAATGTTCCAGGGAGAGACTCAGGTAGCTTCGATGCCTTCTTTTCGTCGGTGGACTCTGTAAGCGTCTTGAATGCGGACAGGTCAGGGTACACCACATCAGACGTTTCGCTTGCGGTCGAGTCGACCAGTATCTCATCAATAGACGAGAAATCTTGTTGCAGCTCTGCCTTCTTCTTGGCCAATCGAGCCTGGAATGTAAGTGGCTTCTTGGGGGATGGAGAGTCTTGACACTCGGCAGCCCGCTTCGTCTCTGGTGTAAAAGCCACCTGCTTGGCCAGCTTGCGTCGGGGTGTCGTAAGTGGAACTGCAGGAAGGTCTTTCTCAATCTGGGGAGCCGCTGGTGTTTGGGAGATCTGCATCGCAGGACCCGGGATAGCACTCTTCCCCTCGCTATACTCTGAGCTCTTTTTGCGCAGAATTGACTTGACCTTCTGGAAGCGCCCGGGGCTAATAATTCGGCGACGAACATCTGCGAACCGAGAGGGCGAGGCGGTGCCAGCAGCCGTGGCAGGTTGAGGTGTGCCCTTCAGGTTAGAAAACGAAGGCGACTTGACAAGTGAAATGGTAGGCTTCTCATGGTCAGAAAAGTGAGCTCGAGAGGACTTGGTAGGGCTCATCAATCTCGAAAGGCTGGATTGAGACTGGGTCGACATAACGGAACCCTGTCCGCTCGACTTGGGGCGAGGAATAGAGCTATCATCCCGAGAAACAGGACGAGCAGCCGACGCGTCATCTTCCACGTGCTTCTTGATTCGCTTAGCGAAAGAAGAAACGGGCTCATTTCGA